AAGAAGAAGAAGAAGAAGAAAAGAAAGATTGAGCGTCACTTACCTCATTAGTAAAAATATGACTTGGAAAATGCAACTACCTCTTAGTATTTCTGTCCTAATAAAACAGAAAATACTTGTAAGAATAATGAGTACACTTCCATATATAAGAGCCATTGTTATTATCAAGAAAACTGTCCAACAAAATAATTACTTTGCCAACATATTTTCTGTTTATCTTTTCATCCTTCAATAAAAAACTATTACTAATTACTACTATGAAAGATTGGATATGACCAAAGAAAATTTTATAATTTCACTTATGGCTGAAGAATTTTAGAAGAAGCCCCTTAAGAAATTTAATCTTAGTCCTTACTAGAATATAGTTTTAGCAGTTACCTTAACTAATTGAAGATCTGCCATAATAATCAGTGTTATTTTTATTTTTTCTCCAGTTACGTTATGTGTGTACACAAAGTTCCAATTGATGTACTTTATTAGACAAAAATTTCTCAATCGAATGAATCAGAAATTAAAAATTAGCTTTAAATTCAACAGCAGAAAAATGTAATTATCTCCATATAATACCAAGTATTATAACAAGAAATGCAAGAAAACGATGATCTTCAAAATTCTCCCCACGCCACTCTGTTCAACAGCAGCAGTGGTCATGGGGTGACTGAGAGCAAACTCTCAAACCACCGTGCGCCTCATCTCACCAAGTTGGCGGAGTCAGCATAACCTGCCCATCAGCACAATAGCGAGTTCTGGCATTTCTCAGGCCTTCCTTTTGATCTTCCCCACTCTGTGTTCTTGTGAATTTTTAGGAGGCAAGGTAGTGTGGGTATGGGTCACCTCAACTCAGGGAAGCCATCAGCTCTGATGTCCCATTAGTTTTAATATCTTGCTAGTCACATATCCACTCGGTACCTACTCTGTAGCACTATCTCATCAATTACATAGTACTCATAAACTAAAGGCCTATCATCAGTTACAGATTACTATTATTAAACAATTATGACAGTAAAAGGCAGGTGATTGGTCTGACACATAGCAACGTCATCGGGACTGTCATTTGCCTCCCCCCACCCCAGTATATATATATCTCTTTATTTGGGATCCTACAAAAAGTATAAAATATGTTGCATGAGATATTTATGAAATATAATTAATTATAATTTCTAATGGTTTGGTTTAGTGGCATGCTTGC